TAGTCCAGCCCTAATTTTTTTTTTATTTTAAGGCAAAACTACGTTTGCCGGGACAGCTAGTAAATATATATATATAAAGAAAAAAATTGAATTGCATTGCATTGCACCAGTTGAGTTTCATGCCAGTTCTCCTCAGCTGATGTAGCTAGCCTAACTCGAGTTAGGCTAGCTATATATATATATAATATTCGAATAGGTAAGCAGAAAAAAAAAAACAAAAGAATTTAAATATGCGAGGGGATGTGGATTGTTAGCAATGTGGACTAAAAACCACATTCAAAAATTCAAAATATCTTTATTCATGTCTATTACAGACTCTTATGATATGTCAAATCTACCTTCAGTTCGAAATGATTTCGAGATTAGAAGAACTGACAAGAAACTCCACTCGTATTCTTTTCAAATAAATGTTTACAATAATACAGATTCATTTTAAAATTTAAATTTGAGAGATTAGTATCTACATTGTAGCAATGTACTATGTTAGGTAGAACTCCACGTGGTTCCACTTGGAAACGATGAGCTAAGTGACTTGACCTCATGCTCGTCTCATCATCCTCCACTGGTGCCCCGCCAGCGTAAACCAGTACCACAAGCTGGTGCACCATTCCATTATCATCCATAAGAATATTCAGAATGTTCTGGAATCCGTAAAAATCTACTTTGGGATCGATGTTGGGTTAATAGTATTGAATTTAGAGTTTCCATTTGGTTTACCTTCCACTTGCAAAATCGCAAACAACCTCCTAAACATAATATGTAGCAAATATGTCGGATTGCCTATTACAGGGTCACTGGACATCATTGTACTGCTGCGGACCGATTGCTTCTGGACGTGGACATAGATATGTGAATTGAAATAACAATTTATATAAAAAAAATAACCTTTAACAATTAACACAGCGTCATCTAGTACCACGGTAAGCAGATCTTGTGTTATGGGTAGTAGACAACTGATATAAATATATAGATACATATTTTTACAAAAATCTTAAACGTGGCAGATAAATACAGTAGTTATATATACATATATATTGATTAAATAAATAAATACATTCAAGCTATATTACATTACACAAAAGTCTTTCTATCAACACTTTTTTATCTTTATATATTTTTCTTCTATTTATCACACATATTTATAATTCATCCATTTAACTGATTCTTCATTTTATATATTTAAATTCATCACGAATGCTATTTCTTTTTCTTTTTTTCAAGTGGCTCCACTGAAAATCAGCGCTGTAGTGACACGTTGCTGCACCAGCTGAGTGGAAGCCTTATCAGCAGCGAATTATTAGTTTTTAAGTTTTCTTTTTTACTTTGTACTCTTTTTTATGCTGAATAAATGTTTATTATTATTATTATTTGTAAATACATACATAATATACATAGAATACACTCAGACAGATATAAACAATCATATTCATGAATACATACAATTGCACCGTGCGAGGAATCGAATCTGCAACCATCAGTAGTAAAGCGGTGTTAGTCGGTCAAAGTTTATAAGTTATTTACTAATATATACACAATATCCAAGATAAATTAATAAATATAAAATTCCCTGTAATTTCTACCTACTTATAATTCCATTATAACATACAACGTGTAATGTAGGAAGTTGAGTAACAAAATAAAGCAATATGCATCGTCTTGAGACATTTTAATATCCCGCTCGCTCCGTTTGCATAGCATATTTGGCTGGAATATTATGTTTTCCTTCTGTGTTTGAACAACGTACCCGGGGGACGCTACTGGAAATGAAGCAAGCAGGAAATGCCATATATTTTAAGTCAACACCAAACCTTACTAATATTATAAACGCGGAAGTTTGTGAGTATGTATTGATGGATGGATCTTTGTTACTATTCCACGCAAGAACTATTTCAATGGATAGAAATGGATTTCAATGAAATTTTACAATAATATAGCTTAGACCTTCATTAACTTTAAATACGTGGTCTTAAGTTCAAATTCAAATTATTTGTGACGTACAGGTAACAAAGGTCTTAGAATCTTTACTTTATATAATAAGATTACTATTATAGTAAACTCGAAAGTTTGTGAGTATGAATGGATGTTTGTTACTCTTTAAGGCAAAAACTACTGAATGGATTTTGATGAAACGTTACAGTATTATAGCTTATACATCAGAATAACATATAGGCTATAAATTTCACGCAGAAAGTGCGGGCACAGCTAATCATTACACAGTATAAAACAAAGTCGTTGTCGCTGTCTGTTCGTCCTTATGTATGCTTAAATATTTAAAACTACGCAATGGATTTTGAAGCGGTTTTTTTTAATAGATAGGGATTCAAGAGGAAGGTTTATATATATAATACATGTACACCCGGGCGAAGCCGGGGCGAGTAGCTAGTATAGTATAAAATAATATCGTCGCCGCTATCTGTTCGCTTATATCTTTTGAATTACGCAACGGATTTTAATATGCAGCAAGAGATAGAGTGATTCAAGACGAAGATTTTTATGTATAATACATGTGTTATAGTATATAGAAAGCCGAGAAATTAAAATATTTGTAATGCATCCATGCGAAGTCGGGACGGGTCGCTAGTAACAAGTTTCAGTGTCTTCTGTAATTACGAGTACAAATATGATTGAAGAAAAAATAATATATTATTGAAGGATTATATGAATCATCGTCATCAATTAAGTTCTTGTAGATAGGACAGCGGTAAATGGTCCATCACGCAAAAGGAACCGGCAGATTTTAATAAAACTTACAACTCTCCTAGAAAGAAGCTTTTTTTATTTCGCTTTCTCAGCCTTTTATATTATTATTAATAATAATAAAAATGTATAACTTCATACAAATTGAGATCTACATGATCTAAAGTTAGAGAATTAAATGAATGAATCAAAATGAATATACAAATTTATACTTTATTACGCACTAAATAAACATGCATACGGCCCATCTGATGGTAAACGGTTACCGTAGCCTATGGACGCCTGAAACACCAGGTGTCACGTGCGCGTTGCCGACCCTTAAGAAACCTTAATATACCCTTCTTGATTAACCCTGTGCTGTAGTCTCTCGAGAAAAACTATATTGTATACATTGTTATTGTAATGTATCGGTGGACTGTATGGGTGTCTAAATGATGAAAACAAGTACTTTGCAATAATATAATATATTAATAATATGACCTATACGAAAGACAATAATAGAATAATTGAAATGTATCAAAAAACATGAATACGTCATGTTTTTTTATACAAAAAGAACTGTTCTAAAAATATAGGTTTAAAAATAATAAAAGTATCAAAAGAGGTTGCGGCGGCCGGTCGCCAACAGTTATTATTAGTATAATCGATTATTAACACTATAATTTTTGTGTTTGTGACCAATAAGATATATTATCTTTACGGTATTTAGAATAAACTTATTTGTGTTAAGACCCCATTAACTTTTGGTGTTTTGTACCTGTCCCGTCTACATTACGTCACTAAGGTCCAGGACATTGTCGATTATATGTGAAGCAAGAGTAACCTGACAGTGAGGGAGCAGCTGGCGTCGAGCCACAACGCGAGTTTCAAGGCGTTTGTACCCCGGGTCTCCCCGCCTCTCGAAGGAGGATGCCTCACCTTCATGAAGGAGGACACCGAAGGGTGTGGTATATCGGAGCTACCGTGGCAGATTGCCGGTGTCAGTGCCGTGACCACACGGACAATTTCAATATATCAATTTACTAATATTAATTCATATGTATGTTAGTCTATAAGGTATTTATAATATGGGCCTTGTGTACCATGTCAGGTTGACATCCACGCGGTTCCCCCTGGAAACTATCGTGATAAATTCTTGGTGAATTCGCCACGATGGCTTAACTGGACTGAGCTCATGTTCATCTTATCATCCTCCACTGGTGCCCCGCCAGTGTAAACCAGCGCAGGCGGGTGCTCCATTCCATTATCATCCATAAAAAAAATATGGGACTTGTGTGTTGTATAAATAGTTAATAAACGCAAATCTACCAATATTAATTAATTACATTTGGGAATTGTTAATTTATTTCCCTAATCACACTGCGACACGTGTTTGTGGTTGAGCAGCTCTGTAACTGATCATCCTTAACCATTCTCGTATGCGGTACGTATGTTGTACGGTTCTAATGTTTATATGATGAATTATAGGTTTGTTTTAACATGATTAATCCCAGAAATTAATATTTAAGGAATTATTTTTGTAAAAATAAAATAGTTTTCACCCAGACTGTTTAGTAGATGTAACTTAAGCTCTGCTTAACTTATTTTTTTTTTTATTTAGGATCTCCAACAATTGTTACAATCATAAGATTAATTAAATTACATGTCCCATAACATGTAATTATACAATGGTATGGTATGGTCTAATTATACAATCATTTATAGGCAAAAACGGCATGCAATATATATATATTGCATGCCGTTTTCATGTATTATACTACTACATACTAATCTGTAATACATACTAATCTATTCCGTGTATATATATATACATAAGCAAAGCTATATTATCTGTGCCTTAGGGATAATCTGAAATCTATTTAACAGATTTTCATGTAGTTTTCTTATATCAACAAAATAATTCCTAGTCTAGAACTCTAGATGTATAATACAATGTTCTATTGAGACGCCGAGGCGATTCGCTAGTCATCTTTACAAAACTACATCATTTTCTTTTAGTTTCATGTTAATTTAAACAGTCTGTTTTATATATTTTTTTAAACAGTCCGTTCTGACACGGGTTATCATTTTGAAAATAATTATACATATATGTGGGAGTGGATAGGTTGATGCGTGAAGTGGAACGTTGCGTGAAAGGTAAAGATAGAGAAAGAGAGAAAGCAAGCGGGAAAACAAAAGAAGGAAGTAGAACATAAAAGTTGAATAGAGATTATAGAACTGCGACAAAAGTTACTTTCTCCCTCTAAATGCCATATAAATAAAACAATCAAAAACTATATGAATAAAATTTGTATTCCATAATATTTATGTTAAATACAATATTATTCTTTCATAAAATATAACTATGAACTATTAATTTCATTGCAATAACACTCAAAAATACATTGTCTTAACAACATCAGATAAAGGTCTATATTAGTTATAATAATAATAATATTTGCGAATCACGCAGGGTGTCTAAACTAAACTATCACTTAAACGAACTTGTATACACGATGGTACATCCGAAATTCTGAAACAACACATAAACAACCATTTAAACATATTTTTTATATTACGGTAGTGGCAAACAGACATATGGCCCATCTGATAGTAAACGGAAGAAACATAATGGTATCACATGCACGTTTCCGACCCTTAAGAAACCTTAATATAATAAGAATCTCTAATCAATTATAATAATAGTATGCACCTTCTACTTTCTCTCTATGTAAATACTCTTTATCAATACCAGGTTGCCTATAAAAGATTTCTAATAGCTATTTTTGTAAAAGACTTTTAATGTATTTTTATTTTTCTTTGTTTATCTATGAGCAATAAAGTGTTATTATTGACAATAATAATAAAATTATAATTGATTAGAGAATATGGGGTCGGAAATAGATGTTTTTATAAGACATTATGAGAGCCTCTTGGACTAGTAAAGTTGTAAGTTAAAATCTGGCCACCATTACGATGTTACAACTGCCCATCAGGCAGTCATTTTATTCACTTTCAGACATTCTAGAATCAATTTAAACTCGACTTTATAATTTTAACTTGGTATATTAATATTGAATTTATATATTTTTATCACATTTATAAACCACTCAGTTAATTAAAGACATATATTTTTTCGCAATGCAATACAATATTCTTATATGTACAAAGAAAGAGAAATGTTGATTTATGATTTATGAGAACAATGCTTTTTTAGCAAGATTTTAAAATAAATTCAATTCCTAACTGATTGAGTAATTCTTCCATTCATCCACAGACAAGAGCGTTATTCTAAAATGATACATTAGTCAATATTAAGTCAGCTAAAATAATAATAATTGTTATTGTTTCATTACCTTAGCACCATTATTTATTTGGTCATCCCTTGTTTCGCTCGCCTCTCCCACTCGGCGCGCATTTGCAGTATACCTTTGAATTGTGGAGACGCGTCCGCTTCTCCACCAGCACCATCTTTCTCTTTCGCGTTTTCATCTTTCTCCGTATCTCCATCCTTTTCTATCACAGCACTCTCCCTCTTCTCATTCTCAACTGACAATTGTCTGAATTTCTCATCGTCTTTCCTTTGCCATGGTCTTTTTGTAAGTGTATCTGCTTTATACGCCATCGCTTCACTTTTAGCAATATTTTTAATATCATCCCTGTCCGTTGATGGATCAGGAAACGTTCTGTTTCTAAGTCTTTTCTCCGGTGTGGAATCCGATACCTCTTTTTTATACTTATTTACCTCACTTCTATATACAGGAGCGCTTTCTCGTTTAGCATTGGATACAGTGTTCACACTTATACTCCTCTGATAATGAGGAACACCAAACTGACTAACACGAGCGGCGATATCGACCAATCTCTTCTCCTCGGCTTGATCTTTTCCACTCGCATCTTCGTTTTCTTTATCACTGTCTCTAGATTTAATTGATGCATTAAATTCATTCTTGAGTATTTTACTTTTAGTGACTGAGGAATTATCACTGGTTTCGTTCTTTAGATTTTGTGCTTCCGCGATTTCCTGAGCTAAACTGTCCGCTTCAGTGTCTTTCAGTTTTAAAGATCTGCGTGCAAACACTTTCATTAATTCCGGTTCGTCATCATTTTTCTTGTCACCACGAAGTTCCTTTGATATGATCACAGGTTTCTTGCGATAAACAACCGCTTCTTCATGCCTATCTGGTGTTCTGACATCATTGCTATCTATACTCTGTATAGAACTTTTACTGCCAAAACTGGAATGCGATTTTTGGTCGATAGATATGTTGTCATAATTCTTCTCCGCACTATCATCTGTACTCATGGAATTTGTTCTCGGCTTCTCTGGCTTGTCTTGTAGATCAACACTTGTTGATTTTCTTTTATAAAAAGATTTTGGTGTAGAAGGGCTTTGTGGCGTTACTGATTGTGCAGGCCTTCTTGTAATAACAGGAGACACTTTTTCTTCAGTAACATCCGCCACCTTTTCATTATTAATATTATTAATACACTCCTTTTTCCCAGATAGTGCAGTTACCATTGGTTTAGTTTCCGTTACTTGAAAGCATTCTACGTCTAATTCTTTATAAGTTTGTTGCGGACTATCATGTTTCTTTGGCGTTACATTTGCAGTTAATACAATATTAGTGGTAGGTTTTGTATCAACTTTATTCAATTGTATATTTAAAAATTCAGGGACTCTAGATTTTACGCCACTTTTCTGAATTTTCTCATCGCTCTTATTTACTTTTGTAGCTTCTGCTTTATTCGATACTACAACTTGTTCGTTATTAATCTGTGTGACTGAAATAAAAGTTTCTGGATCTTGTTTATTGTCTCTTAGAATATTATTACTGATCTTGCTAGTATGACTTAAAGCGCTTTCAACAGATATAGTCTTCCTTCTATCATCTATAGGTTTTTCTGGACTACTCTTAACACTATCTAACGAACTAGACTTGAGTATTGGGGTTATAATAGGCTTAGGAGAACTTATAATATCATCGATTTTAGCCTCTATCTGAGATATATCATTGTCTCTCTTATGGCTATCCATCGTAATATGAATACTATTGGTGAACAATTTTCTGTCTTCATTGATATCAGTTTTCAGACTGTCTAAGTAACTACTGTCGGTGCTTGGTAGGCTGTCATAATTTGCTTCAGCATTAGTATGTAGTATACTATAGTTTCTAACTGATGCCTTCTTTGAGAAATCATGTCTTTCACTGACGTTTCTTCTATAGTTTACTTCCCAGCTTTCCAGAAGAGGCTCCGATATACCCACTATTGCTGGTAGACTTGGCATTTGGTTTTCTTGTGAACTTATCGATGTAGTCTCTGACGCATATCGAAAACTATGAGACTTGCCAATACTGTTTCTAGATTCTACGTACTCGTCCCCTAGAGAACGCATCTCGGATCTTGTGTACGCCTCTTCCGTTTTGTTGATATGATGCATTGTTTCGCGTTTGCTTTCTACTGCTTTCTCATTTAATTCTGAAATATGTTCCGAAGAACGATGTTTAACATTCTCTGAACTTGAATGTCGGATAGTCTTAGGTGGCGAAGCGGACATTGGTATGCCAGGATTAAAGTAAGGAATACTCTTAGGCATACTACCACTATGAAATGCGAAATCATTGTGCACACTTTTCACTCGCATCGCTCTACTTGGAGGCTCCTGATCTGAAGTGACTAGTGTTGGTGACAATGCTTCTTCTTGTACTCTATTAGAAACTTCGTTACTAATAAATGCCTTTGACGAGAATGGATCTAGAGCTCTATGAATAGAAGTTGGCCTTTTAGCTTTATCATGGTGTAAAATAAACGGATCTTTTTTATCCTCAATAGCTTCTTTAGAAGATGACCGTTTTGCCCTATCAATCTTTTCGCTAAACTCATCGCGTCTACTAAATCGACTTTTCATTTCTAAATTCAACATTTTGTCAGTTTCTTCGGCAATTTTGAGATCAGTTATATTATATTCCACACCGGATACTTTGGCTGCACTATATACATCCTTATATGCACTATCTTGTACGTATCCACCTTTGTTATCAAATCTTTTGTGCATCTGGTTCGCGAAAGCTTTCTGTCCTGCAGATTTATGCGTTCTTTCAGCGGGCACCGGTTTATACCCTTGTCCATCTGGATGTACGGAACCACTTTTCTCTGTATCAACGCTTTTGTATTGTGCTGTAGGTTTTTCGGTTTTAGGTTTTTTAATATCTTGTTGCATTTCTCCATCCGCCTGGTCTTTCTTAGACTTTTTACCACTCTTCCTCAAGAGTAGGCGACTGAAAAATGATTCCTCCTTTTTTGAAGACTTTATAACTTCATTCTCAATTTTCTTTTCTGACTTAGATTTCTTTTCGAGGCAAGATTCTTCGGCGTATTTTTTATCTGTACGATACTTTGTCATTCGTTCCTCCGAGTGGTAAGCGTTCATTTCTGAACTCACTTGAGTTTTGGGCGAACCATCTCTTAAAGACTGGCCTTGAGAACTAGATTTGCTTCTCTTTATCGAAGATCGTGGCGTATCTGACTCTGCTATGCTTAGTTTCGCCGGCGACTGTCCCATGAGCTGGCTGAGCGCTAACCCAGGGGGTAGCGACGAAGACTTCAGTTTTGTGTCGCTCGGCATCTCTAAAACTCTTTGCAGCTCTCGATTCACTAGCTGGTGTTGTTCTTTGACGATCATATGCTTCGTAGTAGTCGATGAAGAGAATGATTCTGTAATGATAAAGAAGAAAATATTGTATAAAAATCGACTAAAACGGCGAAAATAGTGGTCACGAGAAAAAACTTCAATTCAACCCAATTGGTGAATATACCTTAAGACTATTTTTTTAATATCATTTAAATTATGTATTTTTACAAATAAATATCGGCTTCTTTATAAAAAAAAAAATGAAATTGTATACAAAATTCGCATTAGAAAATATTTAGTTTATTACATTTTTATGTATGGTTCATACAAAATCCCTCCATCTGTGGTTGCGTCTATAGAGATAAGATTTGTGAGTTTGGACGTTCGAGGTAATTTCTGGTAGTACTGACCCGATTTTAAAAAATCGTTCGGTGTTGGATAGCCTATATATCAACATTCCAGGACTAGTCACAGCGCCATCTAGTCCCAAGCTAAGAGCTTGTGTTATGGGTACTAGACAACTGACACATATAAATGGTTACTGTTTTTTGTAAATGCATACATAACACCCAGACTGATAGAAACAATCATACTCATGAATGTTTGTGCTATGCTATTAAAATTATAATCTAAAAAAATTGACGTTTATAAGCGGCTAATATGTCCGACATGAATAAATGATTATTGAATTTTGAATTTTTGCGAGGAATAGAACCCTCGATTTTTGAAAGTAAAACGGTGTGCTAAACTACCGCTAGACTAGCGAGTCCGTCCTTATTTATCGAGAGAGGGTAGTAATAGGCTATCACGCTAGAACCGATAGGAGCGGAGTTGCAAAGAAAAATGTTGCAAAAACGGTGAAAAGTTGATGATGATGACTTGGTGATGGATTTAATGAAAGTGTACGTACCAGTAACAACTTCTGAGGTCTTGTGTGACACTTCAGGAGTAGTGCTTCGTATCATTTCTTCGTTCAGTTCGGGCGTTATCGGCAAGGCTGAAGCGGCAATCTGAAAAAATATATTTAGCATTTTGAAACATATTCAGCAGGATTGCTATTGTTATATTTATATTATAATATTTCTAAAAAAAACTTTGACGGATATGATAGTGCCCATGTAATAATAATAATACCCCAGGACAATATCCGCAGCGGCATCTAGTCCCAAGCTAAGTAGTGCTTACTAGACCACTGATATAAATATTATATTTTTTTTTGTAAATACATACATAACATACATAGAAATTACCCAGACCTAATATAAAATATGTAGTAACAAAACTATTTAATTTTGATTACAAAAGACTTCTCAATAAGTAGATAGATAGATAGATAAAATAAGATATATAGATAATTGATTTATTGCCAACATAACACAAATAATACAATTTCATTATACAATACAAATATATAACATACAAATATCAAATAATACAATTTTATATCAGGCGTCTAGTACCCATAACACAAGCTCTACTTAGTTTGGGACTAGATGCCTCTGTGGATATCAATCTCTGTCAAGTATCAATATCTCACCACACATAAATAAAATACATTCGAATTAAGAACATAATGGCGTTTGTTAAAAAATAAATGTAAATATTACTTACAGGGTTGTTTTTCTTCCGCCGCGGGGCGCCATGTGTGCGTCTGGGACGCACCGCCATTTTGTGTTTGGCGGCTGAATGCGACAGTGGCGCCACTCCCGTCGGTGGTTCTGATGTATCTGGAATAATATACAAGTAAAACATATAACAAGACAGACTCCAAGATAAGGACATAGAAAAAGAGGACGACCAAACAGATGATGGGAAGACGAAATAGAACAGCAGGGAAGCTATGGATCAGGATCACACAAGACAGAACAGAGTGGAAAAGATTAGAGGAGCCCTTTGCTTGGAAGCGAGCAGACGACCAAGAACTAAATATATTATATATGTAATAATAATAGTAATATAGCTTACATATATATTATATATGTAAGCTATATTATATTACACAAAAGTCTTTCTATCAACACTTTTTTATCCTTATATATTTTTCTTATATTTATCACACATATTTATAATTCATCCATTTAACTGATTCTTCATTTTAGATATTTAAATTAATCACGAATGCTATTTCTTTCTTTTTCAAGTGGCTATATATAGTATAAAAAGCCTTTTCAGCATAGTGAATTATTAGTTTTTATGTTTTCTTTTTTATCTGTACTCTTTTTTATGCTGAATAAATGATTATTATTATAAATATAGTATAAAAAGCAAGAAAAAAACTTCAATAAAAAAGTCTGATTAAAGGGCAATAATAATTAAAAACCTTTAACAAAAAACAATAGGATTTCCAAAATGGCACTAGCTCTTAAGTTAGACTAGATTATTAGAAATGTAAATACCTATATTAATTGTCAATTACAATAAATACACTTCAGTTTACGCGTGATCAAGGCGGTTTTCTTTTTATGGATGACAATGGAATGGTGCACCCGCCTGCGCTAACGGTTTACGCTGGCGGGGCACCAGTGGAGGATGATAAGATGAGCATGAGGTCAGGTCAGTTAGAACACGTGACAAATTCACCAGAAATTTATCACGATACCAGGGGGAACGGCTGGAGGTCCTGACATGGTACATTGCTAGCAATGGGGTCATCAGTCCACATTACTAACAATCCCCTCCCCCTCTGATCAAGGCGGTTGAAATACAGCTGAAATATCGGGAACTCATTAAAAATAAATGAAACGTGGTAAAATCCAATGATTTTTCTTAATTGTACGGGGGAAAAATGTAACTGTTGTACAAAGTTACCTAATTTCTTCCTTGTGCTATTGTGGTTGAATACGTCATAGTATTGTCCAATTTCTTTTTTATACAGGTAGGTGGCAATCAAGCATACGGCTCATCTGATGGTAAACGGTTACAGTAGCCTATGGACGCCTGAAACACCAGGGATGTCACGTGCTTGTTGCCTACCCTAAAATGTTGGTGATAATACTCACTGTATAGATCTGACTGGTCACTCCTCGCGGAGTGGTCGTGCGAGTGGTGATGACCACTGCTGCTGTCCTCGTCCATCTCCGAGGAGCCGACGCTGAGCAGGGAGCCATCGCTGCACGAGGACTGCGAGATACCAGCATGGTGCCGCTGTAGACAAGATCAAACATTTTGTTATTAAATCGAATCAAATTTAATCTCAAATCATTTATCATGTAGGACATTTTAGCAGCTTATGAACGCCAATTTTTATATATCTGGGCGATAGAGTAAAATATATAGCGGGTTAAATTCCTTGTACAGCACAAAAATTCATGAGTATGGTTGTTTGATACCGGTGTTATCTATGTACATATATAGTTACAAAAAAAAGAAAATTATGTGTTTAAGTTATCTAGTACACATAACATAAGCTCTACTTAACTTGGGACTAGATGGCGCTGTGTGATTTTCTCTAGGGTTGTCATTATTATTATTATTATTATTTTATTGAGGACATTTTTGTAACTCTTTTATCTTCTGCGTTTGCGCTTTCGGGTTACGCTCGCTTTAGCAGAGTATGTGAAATGTTTTGGAAGTGTTTTATTTGTTTGGTTTATATATACATTTGTAACATAGTTTGACTGTTATTTATATGCGTATCATTATTATTATATACCTAACACAAGCATAGAAATAGATGTATATAAAACATAGATATAAAAGCATATGTGGACTGTATCATAAATTAAATTATTAATAGTACAAATAGAATTAAATCAGTATAGTCTGCGCTGATTTATTTGTGTGCATCAACTGCATATCCGTATGTAATTAACATATGTTGGTTGAACGCGAGGTGAGGTAATATCAGATAACATAACCGGATGTTAAAATACAATTATAGTTACTTTACCGGAACGAATATGTACTCTATATAATTTAACATTTTTATGATGCTACTATTTGTCATAATATAATAGTAACATATAGTATTTTTCTAAATTCAACGTGGAAGCCCACCGCTGTTTATCGAATTAATTTCGTTTGTTATTGGTGTTTCCATCGCAGGAGAGTTAGTCGTAAATATAAATTAAAGAATCAACATTTTTTTATTAAAACTCATGAAGATATAACAGTGTGAGATTAACTGATAGGGAGCAAGTGTATTGCTGTTTATCGGATTAATATGTTTTGTAATGGGTGTTTCCATCACCGGAGAATTAGTCGCAAATATAAATTAACACAATCATATTATTGTTATTAAAATTCATGACGCTACATGAAATTGGGTTGTAAACTACTATGCTATGATACTCTAAAAGAGAATGTATTATTTATTTTTGTAACTAAAACGGCAAACAAGCTAAGGATCCTATATATACTATACAATGACAAACCTCGGTGGTCTAGTGCCAGTAGCATATCGCTTTACAATCCGATGGTCGCGGGTTCGATTCCTCGCACGGTACAAATATTTTTATACATGAGTATGATTGTTTGTTTTATATGTATTTATATACAAAAAAAAATTGCATCATGTATTTATATCAGTTATTTAGTACCCATAACACAAGCTCTGCTTAGCTTGTGGCTAGATGGCGTTGTGTGAATTGTCCTGAGATATTATTATTGTACAATGCATTTACTAGCAAAATTTTTCGTGTTAAGACCCGGTTAATAATATAAATAGTGTCAAGACGTATCAATAAATGTCTATTTTATTTTATAATATTAGTAAAACTAGCTACTCGCCCCGACTTCACCCGGGTGTACATGTATTATATATATAAACCTTCCTCTTATATCACTCTATCTATAAAAAAAACCGTTTCAAAATCTGTTGCGTAGTTTTAAAGATTTAAGCATACATAGGGACGGACAGACAGCGACAGCGACTTTGTTTTATACTATGTAATGATACCAACCCTGATATTGGCACTGACAAATCTCCTCCTCGGCGGTCGTTTCACTGGCACCTCTTCACTTTGAGTGATGTAGAGCATCATTTTGGTGAGATATCGATATATTCAAATGCACAACACTATGTTTATATATCACATTTTATTGCACTATAGTTTTGTACGTCGTTATTCTTCATTATATTATTAAATTACTTGATTACCAACTGTAAATTAATTTACAAATACTCTATTATTATTTCGTAACAAATTAAGTTAAGTAACCTACTAAGTTAAGTAAAGTACTTTTTCACACTTTTTTTTTAAGAGACGAACGATCTCGCGGATAACCTGATGCTAAATGATTACCGCCGCCAATGAGCATCCGCAACACCAGGGGAATTGCCGGACTTTAAAGAAGGCATAAATTTTCGTAAATTTTCATTATTGTATTGGATCGGAAATACGACTGCTGGATGGTGATAATTCTACAATATGGTTACGCGTGGCAAAAAATAAAATATTTATTTTATTTATTTATACTCTTTATTGCACCAATTACAGAACAAAAACAAAAAAACAATTAAAATGGAAAATATACACTGATTTTTTTTTTATTGGATTGTTTGGGCTATTGTAAGATGTGTAGCACCTGTAGCACTCCGACCTACATAGATCTATTGTGCTCGAACATACACACTATATACACTGATACAAAAGGCGGTCTTATCGCTAAGCAATCTCTTCCAGACTACCTTTAGGTGGATAGAGGAATAAAAATAAGAACAGGGTAGGTGGCGCACGTAATAAATAAAAATAAATATATATGACTCAAATATACATAAATATAAACATATATACACATTAATACATATATACATACACATACTTTATAGCGTGCATACATTTGGAAAGAATGAAGGAAGATTAGTTATGAGAATAATAAGAAATTAATTAAAGGGAAAGAAAATGGGATTTGACAGAGGTTTTAAAGCTGGCAAGTGATTGAATGCTCCGAATGCAAGAGGAGAGTGAGTTCCACAACCTAACGGCCTGGACAGAAAAGGATTTAGAATAGAAGGAAGTGGAATGAGAGGGAAATCTTAGACGGAGATAGTTAACATTACGCGAGGAGTGGCTGTTGTTCTCACTGAGAAATATGAAACAGTCTTTTAGGGTAATAAGGATAAAATATTGTAATAGTTCATCTCTACATTTCAATAGGTATGAAAATGAATAAAAAAAAAGTATAGTAATATAAGGAACGAAAGATGTGTAAGTGTTTTAAGCAAAACGAAAACAACTATGCTGAATGGACACTTAATTAATATTAATAATTTAAACATAATGATTTATATTTAATTTGTTTAATATTAAATGATTACTTTCATATCTTGACTTTAGTTACAATAGTATTACCCACGACTAGTTATGCCACGCTGTATTTTTTTCTTATCGATGATAATGGATTGCTGCAACATCTTACGCTAACGGTATACTCTGGCGGGGCACCAGTGGTAGATAAGATGAGCATGAGGTCAGGTCAGTTAGCACATCGTGTTAAAATCATAATGAATTTCTCACGATGGTTTCCATTGAACCGCGTGGAGGGCGACCTGGCATGGTACACAATAGGGTCATCAGTCCACATTACTAACAATCCCCTTTCTTCTTTACCACTCTGTGTTAGGTTGATGGAGATCACTTTTAGAGATAAGTCCACTTTTGCTCATTTTGTCTACATTTAAGTTTACTGTATTTCAAAGTGCAATAAAGAATATATACAATTTAAACATTTTTTTTTATACAAATGCGTCAATAAATCGATCACGTACAATATACCACAGATAAGATAATCTCATTCAGATTATGCTAAATAATTCACAAGTATTTTGATGTTACCGAAGTGTAACAGAGATCTTTGTTGTTTTGTATCTTAGCGTGAAATCAAAGGTCAGATTGTATAGACATTTTCTATTCTTTGTATCAGCTCAGCCTTGTTTCAGAGATTAGAGAGTTAAAAAAAACATATCCTTTCGCAGCAACATTTTATTACCTATAGATTATACATATTTATTTATTTACTCTTTATTGAACCAGAAGTAAATTAAAAAGAACATAAACAGAAATGTTAAGGCACTTAAAGCGATCATAGCGCATAAGCAATATCTTTCAGAAAACTTTTGGATAGAGGAGAGACAGAAAGTGGTAGATGGCGCAAGAATGGACTAGAGAAATAAAAAAAAGCATAACAATAATAAATGTGAATAGAAATAATTTACATATATATAATGCATTTCATATATTAATACACACACATTATATATAAATACACAATACATAAGAGTGTTAAGTACCATCTATATATGTAACACGCAATTGGGAACAAACTAACTAGATGAAGGATGACAGGATATATGTTTGCGATAGCAAATAGCCCTTTACTTTCTTTAAAAATAAAATTTTAAATTTTCAAATTTCAAATGTAAGGCACAGAACATCGATGTTTTTTTTATATACAACTAGATGTCCCGGCAAACGTTGTATTAGGGGTGGACTACCCCTAACATTTAGGGGGATGAAAAATAGATGTTGGCCGATTCTCAGACCTACTCAATACGCTCACAAAATTTCATGAGAATCGGTCAAGCCGTTTCGGAGGAGTATGGGAACGAAAACTGTGATACGAGAATTTTATATATAAGATTTTGCACTCCTTCTCGAACATTCCGTGGCGTCATTATTAAAATCAACGTACAATACATTCAAAATATTCTTTTTATTTCAATTTAAAACAAATCAACCACTGCAATATTCCTCCAGCGTTTGCTATTATAATAATATAAAATATATTGTTTAATATATTTTCTTATAAGTCGATTTTCAATAAATTCATTTTATTTTTGATAAATATGGAAGTCTGTCTGTCAAAATATAGATCTATTATCTTATATATTATATTATCTATTCACTACGACATGTCTGTAGATATGAATCTTAATTAAGGTCGTCACAGCAACCAAAATAATATTGGATCCACTGTTATAATGGCCTATGATGATAGTGTGTATATAAATAAATAAATAAAATATTGTAAATATACTAATTTTAAATATTATAAATTATAAATATTGTAAATAATATTAAAAAAAAATACCAACAATAAAATGTAATGTGGATGGATTCCACATTACATTTTATTGTTGGTATATATTTTTTTTTATGGATGATAATGGAATGGTGCACCCGCCTGCGCTAACGGTTTACACT